CCCAACTTAGAGAAGAAGTCTTTGGATTTACAATCAATAGCAAATCCCAACGTTGATACATCTTATCCTCTCTTTGGAGACACTTAAGGTATTTATTTTTATCTTTTTGCCTTAATAGATTTGTTGGTATTATATGTCTCTAAGAGTCTGACATTTTATATTTTTGCTACTAGGCTGTGAAATTTTTATTATATGATATTAAATCAGCTAAATAGTTGAACCTGATATTCAATGGCCGTCATATTGAAGGTTGTATCAACAAAATAGTAGAAAGAATTCCAGATATAAAAACTTTGAGGATCGAAAAAAAATGTAAGGGGTGTTTCAGGCCTTGATGATAAAGCTTTTTTACATAATAGTAAATCTTTAAATAGTTTTAGTTTTCTTATTCTATTAGTTACACTGAGGTGTTGAGTTTTTGTACCAGAGGTCTGGATGTGGCATTTACCCAAAAAAATAATTCATGAAAGTTGATTCTGTTTAATGCTCTAATATTCCAAGCAAGTTGAAACATTCTAGCTAGATCTTGGGTATTTAAGAAATTCGACATCTATATTTCAACTAGATATTGTAGCTAAGAACTAAATGAGTTATTATGGAATCAATCAACTTCTTACTTAGTCAAATTTTTGTTTTATATTTGTGTTATCTCAATATTTCTATTATGTCTATATTATTGTGTCCTGAAATTTTTTGGATTAGAGTTGAATGATGCTTTAGAGAAGTATTTTTTGAAAAGAAAATCTGCACGAATGAGTCTAAACAGTTAAATTAATTCTCTAAAAGTGCATTGTACCGAATTATAAATTAAAGTATTTCGAGTGGTTGACTATTCCTTAAAAATATAAGATTACCACATGGAACAAATTTAAGGACACGGATCTTTGGCAACCTATGATACAAATAATGAAGGTATGCTCTATATTAAATCTCAAGTTAGCAAAATAACGATCTTTATTCCAGAGTCAGTGGTGGATCAAGGTAGATATTCTCAAGGTAGAAGGATATTTACGCTCGAAATACTTTAACCTAGAAGGATATTTACGCTCAAGGTAGATATTCTCTATATCTTTCGGGTTGAATTTCTGGCGGATTTTCTCTTTGATTTTTCATTATTCATGGCTGATATTTTTTTCTCTGCATCTTAGGTTAACAAATAGAATTAAGGTTAGCTATAATTATTATTTAATTTGCCAAAAAAATTATTATTATGTAACAAAGTCTTTATTATATTTTATACATTTTATTATGTGTTGTAGAGTTTACATGTTTAGTCTATAAAAATTGTCTTAATTAGCCTATGTCACCTTAATGTATAACAATTCAAAATTTTGAAGAGTCTAAACATACAAAGTTTACTAGCCGTTTAACTTTGTGTAAACTTTTCTTTCACTTTGGAAAGAATCCCACTTTACAACTTTTTTCCAAGAATGCATAGTCATATCTTTTTCAAGAATCCACAAACCATCATTACTATCTTTCCAAGAATTGATAAAACTTCATACTTTCATTACAAAAATCGATAACTTTCCATACTTTATATTAAGTTTGTTGGGGAATCGGGAAGATATTTATTACAGAGCACGAAGAATCAAAGATGTCAAACCATTTAAGTATGTTTCTCGAGTGTGTTTTGATGATTATTCTGTCCCTCTTGATACTAGAAGAGTAGTCCTAACGTATGTCTTATCAATGTATTGGTGGTTCTTGTATCCATCAGTCATTGTCTATGATTTTTTTTTCAATGGTCCACCAAGGTCAGCACAATCCTTTATGGATTTTGTAGGAGGGTGTTCTATGCAACACAACTTACTCATTTTTAGTATTAATTTTCTTGAATACATCCCCTCTGAGTTCGTCGGAAAAGTGATTTTACATGTTGTGACCAAGAGGGTTAGATATATTAGGGTTGCGGTTCAAGGTTCTCTACTAATCATCCCAAGTTAGTGTTGGGGCTCTCTAAGCATCTCTGATACCTTAAACTTCAATACCCAACTTAGAGAAGAAGTCTTTGGATTCACGATCAATGGAAAATTCCAACGTTGATACATCTTATCCTCTCTTTGGAGACACTTAAAGTATTTATTTTTATCTTTTTGCCTTAATAGATTTGTTGGTATTATGTATCTCTAAGGGTTGATATTTTATATATTTGCTACTAGACTGTGAAATTTTTATTATATGAGGCATTAAATCAGCTAAATAGTTGAATCTGATATTCAATGGCCGTCATATTGAAGGTTGTATCAGCAAAATAGTGGAAAGAATTTCAGATATAAAAACTTTAAGGATAAAAAAATAAAAGGGGTGTTTCATGCCTTGATGATAAAACTTTTATATGATGGTAAAATTTTTACATGATGCACTTTAAGGTTTTGAGTTTTTGTACTAGAGGTTTGGATGTGACTTTTATATATAAAAATTCATGAAAGTTGATTCTCATTAATGGTCTGATATTCCTCAACTTGCTAGCTAGATCTTTGGCATTTAAGAAATTCTACATCTAGATTTCAACTAGATATTATAGCTAAGAACTGAATGAGTTATTGTGGAATCAATCCACTTCGTACTTAGTCAAATTTTTGCTTTATATTTGTGTTATATGAATATTTCTGTTATGTCTATGTTATTGTGTCGTGAAAAGTTTTAGAGTAGAGGTGAATGATGCTTTAGAGAAGTGTTTTCTGAAAAGAAAATCTGCTCGAATGAGTCTGAACAGTTAAATTAACTCTCTAAAAGCGTATTGTATCGAATTAAAAATTAAAATATTTCAAGTGGGTGACTATTCCTTAAAAAAGTAAGATTACCACGTTGATGAAATTTAAGGACACTGATTTTTGGAACCTATGTTACAAATAATGAAGGTATTCTTTATATTAAACCTCAAGTTAGGAAAATAACGATCTTTACTCCAAGTTAGTAGTGGTATCAGACTTGAGCTATGAGTGCTTAAGAGAAATAAAGATCACTACTTACACATAATCATCAAGGTATTGACATGAGCTTTATTAGCCTGCACATTATAGCTATTATACTATCCTAGTTTTCATGAGTGTTTTTTTTTAATGAGCCCTATTCTCATGGGAAGCAGCCTACTTCCACACTCACATAGGTGAAATCTGTCAAAGGTGCTTCTGTAACTCCAACACCCTGCTCATACAAGCTATATTTTTATTAAGAGTTTATAGACTCAACATTCACAAATCGTTACAGGATAAATGCACTCACACTGTAGGTAGGGATATAAAACTATATTAGTGCATCTTAAAATAAGTTGTAATGTGATTCGTTCTTCCCATTAAACCTGGTTATAGGATCTGTACTCCTTAGGTTAAGTTTCTTCATATACGACTTATGAATTTATGGGCTTCACCCCATCTCCCTCGATATGCTCCAGATCCTTTATCTTGCTAAGACTTTGATCTGTGGATCTGTAAGATTATTATAAGATTTAACATAATAAACATTAAACACTTGTTAAATATGATCTCAAAATACTGTGTTTTTGTCTGGGTTTACCGTTGTAATAATGGTTTTGTACTCTATCAGTTGTAATGGTGCTATCATAATAAATTAATATAGGAAAAATAGTTTTCCAAACAAGGTATTTAAAAAAAATCTATCAATCAATTCTCATTCTTCACTGAAGCTAAAGCAATTAGTTCTGACTCGACAGTAAAGTTAGCAATAATTAGTTTTTTATTTTATTTTCAATAAATAGTACCACCCCAAAATAAAAATATAACTAGTAGTTAAGTAGGATTCACTCTTCCAATCTGCATCATAAAAGCCTTCGAGCCGGATATTTTTATAAAATAAGTCATAGGTTTTGGCACCAAGTAGATATCTTATAACTCTCGTTGTGGCATAATATCAATGTTCATTACCTTGCTTGTAAATCCGCTAAATACTCCTACTGCATATGCAATATATATCATGTCGTATGCAATCAGTCACATATCTCAATTAATCTTCTAATTAAGCTAGCATGTTTCTTTTGATTTATCACATCAGTTTCATTTTGAACAAGAAATGAGTGAACATTTGAATCAATATGAGTTACAACAAGCTTGCAATCATTAAAATTTTATTTTTTCAGGATTTTCGATAAAAGATGTACATTAGACAATTAGTAAACAGATGAAAATTTTCCCAATTTTTTGCTTGTTACCTATCACTCAGCATATATTCTTCTTACTCTTATATATGTATGTGTGTGTATATTTTCTAAATCCCCCTTAAATAAGAGAGAACAAAATACCTTGTTAATAAAGTGGAGAAGGAACAATGCATTGCAAGGCATCAAAATATGCTCTGTGTAAAGACTTCCTAATGTATCATTGTGAATTACGTACGTATAAGTTCAAGTTGAGTAAATTCAGAGACAGTAAATTATGGGAAACTGTTTCAGATCTAACCCTTATGTGATTACATGCATTAGATATAGTATTACTGTCCTTTCAATTCAAGAAAACCATTAGTTCCAATTACTCAGCCTCACCAAAGAAGCTCAAAAACAAAAGAAAGAAAAATAAGTTTCATGCAGGACATTCCTTTAGATTGACTTGCAAGACTCAAGTCAACAGAAAACTACAGAGAGTAAACCAAATCGTAATTTGTCATTGTTGGAGTCTAAGGACTAAAGAAGAGAGAAATAACAGCGGTCCTCACCCAACCCATGCCTAGAAGAAAAGACAGAAACATCAACTTTGTTTGGACTTTAATTAAAACGTTTGAAGTAGGAAAAAATGTTTGATGCTATCTTGACATTTTGAAAAATCAGCAACTCATTCATGAATTTCGTAGCTTATTCCTTGTCTTTTGCTTCATATTTCTTTGCAAGTGCCGGCCAATATTATCTGTGTCTCCCTGATTCAACAACAACAACATACCCAATGTAATCCCACATAGTGAGAAGTTAGGAGTGTCTCCCTGATTCCATTTATATAAAGGCAACTCATCATTTATTTCATTACTACACTTCATATTATTGCTTCACTATGAAAATAGCACTCCCGCTACAGTTTTCGTTTATCGCCACACTGGTGGTACTTCTGATTAGTTCTAATATTTCTGGAGGATATGGCCAATGTTTGGGGGATCAAAAAGCCTTGTTGCTTAAATTCAAGAATAGCCTTACGTTTGATTCCTCTTTGTCAACCAAACTAGTAAGGTGGGATCAAAACACTGACTGTTGCCAGTGGCCAGGTGTAAGTTGTGATCAGGAAGGTCATGTGCTTGTTCTCGAACTGGACAACGAAACAATTTCTGGTGGTGTTGAGAATTCAAGCAGTCTCTTCGATCTTATGTATCTTGAGAAGCTGAATTTAGCTTATAATGACCTAAAATCTGTTCAAATACCAACAGAAATTTATAAGCTCACAAACTTGATATACCTGAATTTATCAGATGCTGGTTTTGTTGGGCAGATTCCAATGGAATTGTCAAGATTGACAAAGTTAGTGTCCCTTGACCTTTCTTACAACAACTTGAGAATTGATATACATGGTAGTAATTCAACCTCATCTCTCTTTCCCCAGTTGGAAGTACTGAAGTTGGTTTCATGCGAGTTGCAGAATTTTCCAGACCTTAAAAACCAGTCCCATATGTCCGAATTAGACCTTTCGGACAATAATATTAAAGGGAAAATACCAAGCTGGATTTGGAGTGTTGGAAATGGAGGCTTAAAATATCTGAATCTTTCATGCAATCTCCTGGAGTCTCTAGAAAAACCTTATAATATATCTACCACTCTGAGGGTTATTGACTTGCATTCTAATAGTAAACTTACGGGACAAATACCAACTTCGATATGCAATCTACATCAGCTTCAGTTACTTGATATGTCAAATAACTCCATTAACAACAGAATACCTCCTTGTTTATTCCAAAAGATTCACCATCTCAGGGTGTTGAATCTAGGTAGAAACAAGCTAAGTGGCCTTATTCCTGATACATTTCCGCGGAATTGCAATTTGGAAATTTTATCCCTCAACAACAATATGTTAGAAGGAAAAGTTTCAAGATCCTTGAATAGATGTGCATATCTTGAGGTATTTGACATTGGAAATAATAAGATTAGAGATACATTCCCATGCATGTTGAAGAAATTATTTAATTTACATGTCCTAGTCTTGAGGTCGAACATGTTCTATGGGAATCTCAAATGTCCTATAGCTAATCAAACATGGCCAAGGCTCCAAATTATAGATCTTGCTTCAAACAATTTCAACGGATATCTGCTACCACAATACTTCTCAAACTTGGAAAAAATGATGCCGAGTAGCAAATTTCCAGAGCCAGAGTACTTGAGAGTTGAAGTCTTCAACTATGGCAAGTACTATCTAGACAGAGTAACTGTAGTTCTCAAAGGTCGGGAGATAGAGATTGTAAAACTTCTTGCAATTTTTACGTCGATTGATTTCTCTTGCAATAACTTTCAAGGGGAGATACCCGAGGTATTGGGAGATCTCAAATTGCTTTACCTTCTTAACTTATCACACAATGCTTTGACAGGAAGAATACCACAGGCCCTTGGAAAGTTAACTCAGCTTGAATCCTTAGATCTTTCAGTTAACCAGTTAAGTGGGAGGATTCCGGACGAGCTCGTAGGTCTCACATTCCTTTCTTTCTTGAACCTATCTTTTAATCAACTTTCTGGTAGGATTCCAAGAGGCAACCAATTTCAGACGTTCTCAGCAGATTCCTTTGAAGGGAACACGGGGTTGTGCGATTTTCCGTTAAAGAAAACATGCAGTGACATCAAAGTGAATGAATTATCACAACCTAGCAGCCATTCTGAACATGAAATTGATGGGAAGTATATAAGTTTTGCCTTGGGATCTTCTGTGTGTTTTGGCATTGTAACCTGGCTGCTTTTGTATAGCCAAAGATACAATGAGCTTGTTGATAGACTTCTTTTCAGAATTTTGGGTCAGCACAAAAAAAGTGGTAGGAATAAAAACAAAAGGAGGTCAAGGTAAGTTAAGGAATTTGTTGTAGAATGTAAAGTACATAGGCCAAGGAAGTTGCAGCAGTATGACTATAAGCTATGAAGTAAGATATTTTACGTACTTTCTGTGGTATGAAGGAGTTCATATATAATACTCTTCAGATTGGTTTTTCTTTGTTTTTTGTATGGGGAAGGGGATGTTCCTTACATTCCCTCTACGTGGAATTATGCCTATTTTAATGTCACTGTCTATTACAAGCTCAAGTAGTGTAAATTCAGACAAAGTAAATTATGGGAAGTTTTCCGATCTTACCTTATGTGATTGACATTTTAGGTTGACTTGCATATGCACAACCCAAGTCAACAGAAAACTACAGAGAAATTAAACCAAATTGGAATTTGTCTAGTTGGAGATTAAGAACTACAGTAGAGACAAAGAACAGCCGTCCTCACCCATGCAATGCCTAAAAGAAAAAGACAGAAACATCAACTTTGTTTGGATTTTAAAACATCTGAGGTAGGACCTCATTAGACAAAATGGTGATATACTGTCTTGACCTTTTCAAAAATCAAAATTGGAGCAAATCATTCAATTTAGTTGCTCATTCCTTGTCTTTCCGAGTGCCGGCCAAGATTATCTGTTGCCCCTGATTCCATTTGTATAAATGCAATTCATCATTCAATTTCATTACTGCACTTATAATATTGCCTCACTATGAAAATATCACTCCTGCTACAGATTTCTTTCATCGTCGTGTTGGTGGTGTTTCTGATTATTTCTAATATTTCTCCCATGTTTGGCCATTGTTTGCGCGATCAAAAGGCCTTGTTGCTTAAACTCAAGAATGGCCTTACATTCGATTCTTCTATGTCAATCAAACTGGTCAGATGGGATCAAAACACTGATTGTTGCCAGTGCCCCGGCGTAAGTTGTGATCAGAAAGGTCATGTGCTTGTTCTAGAACTGGACAATGAAACAATTTCCAAGGAGATGGTGAATAATCACTTGCAATTCCTGGACTTGGATAATAACAAACTTGCTATCTACCATTTTGTAGGCCAAAAATTTTGCGCCAACAATTTTTTTCAACCCGGCATCCTCAGTTTTGAATTTCTTTTCAAGCGCAATCCACGGTTCTTTTGACGTCTCCACATTACTCTAGACGTTATACAGATCGTCCTCCAGTCCGTTAAGAATATAATTCATGCACAAAAAATCAAAATACTTCCACGCCTCAGTCACGAGAAAGCGTTCATTTTCTGAAGTTTCGTCACGCTGAACATGAACAACTTCTTTAATGAACTTCTATAGACTTTGTTACACTTAAGTTTCAATGATGACAATAGGGCAAATCTAACTTACCCACTGTCTTATTGATTGCAGTAATTCGGGAAGATCCAAAACAAAGTGAAACGATATAATGGAAGACATGATTGCAGTAAATCATGAGATTCAAAATGGAAGGGAAACACAGCCATAAAACAAAAGGGAAACAAATCAAGTGCAATAACCACAAATCACTCCCTCGATTCCGGGTATGGAAAGCAAGCACTTAAATGAATCCAGCTCATCTCTCATGAAGGAATCGGAGGCACCTCTTGGGTCAAATCTATCTATATAGAATAACAAAGGCAAAACCATGTTAGGCTGACAAGTGGAATACCCAC